TTTTTGATATTTTTGTATTTTTATTTATTTCTCAATAATCAAACATACCTGATTGTAAGCATTTYACAAGTTTTTGTTGAAGAGATGGCTCCAAACTATTATGATATGAAACAAAAGCAGCTAATGCTGGATAAACAGCAATTTGAAAGTCAGTTTTCAGCCATTTAGGTGGTGTATTCTTTAAAGTGCCGGCAACAGTTTTATCGTTCACCTGATATTCAAACACCATAATTTAATGAATATTACAATATTTTTCRTTAAATTTCACAAAAGTGAGCATAACACACCAATTGACATAAAGTTGAWGCCAATTCATATGCTGGATCAAATTCCCAATTCCCAGATAATATCAATGCCTTGTTTTTAAGAATCTGAGGAACATCTTTCAGTATTTTGTTCAATACTCGCCAATCTAAATATAACCAATCATATCATAATATGTCTAAAGAAATGTTTAATAGGAATTATGGTTTATTTCTTGAACTTCACACACAAACACAATGTTTTATAGTCCACACCGTACATTTTGTCAGTCAACACATACCCGCATACTCACAGACACATACTCACATCCTGAAAACACATGATGCAAATTATCTACAGTTAAAATGCTTCACACCAAACGCCATTAGATTCCTAAACTCCATTTCCAAATTGTTTTCATGTTTTACCGAGCTCTTCTTTTAACGCCGTAATCACTGCTTTGCATGCATCAGCAAGACACATGTAGTTAAACTGCACCAAAATGTTTTCCTTTGATTTTGTGTCATCTGTTGAGAAATTTGGACTAGGTGGTACTCCATGACCCTTGTGATCGACATACATATACGGAGAATATTCATCAATACCTTGCATTCCCAACTTATACCTTGAATCTGCCCGAAGTTTAACTAGTAATTCAAATATCTATAAATATAAACAGTAAATCATCAACTGAAAATTATACTTGAAATTGTTAATTTTATAATAAATAAAACCTATTTTATATAGATGTAGCAATTATTATTTTGTAAATCTTACCGCTAAACGTATCGAAAATATATGTTCCAATATCATTGGTCGTTCATAATGGTGTCTCAAGTGAGTAATAAGCAAAGTGAGAATAGTATCAGCAGAAATTGTTGGATATTTATATAAAAACTTTGAAAACAATTTTGAAAGACCCTCAACAGTTATTTTTATATCTTCCACATCATTTTCATGTAAAACAACTCCAGTATTTAACTTATTAATTCTGAATAACACCTAAAAACATATATTGAAAACTAATACAAAATATTTTTACAATAAAATACAATACATTTTATATAGCTATACAGTGTGATTTTTTTATCATGAACCACTCATTATTTCAAAAAAAATCAATGTTTTTGAAAATATTTTTTTACAAAGTTTCATGTTGTTAAAAAAACAACGTTTTTATTAAAAAATTATGTTTTTTTATTATTTTTTAAGTTTTTCACTTTTTTGAATGACAACCTAGAGTTTGAATTTCATATTCCAAAGCAGAATATTTTTCTAAGTATTTTGATA